CATTGAAAGTGAAACATTTGGTGACAAATTCGAAATATGTCACCTATACCTAATATGACGCCGCTACGGTGACGATCGCTGTGACGATAAAATTTCGTCATCATTGTACTTTTGGGACGAAAAACAAGGCTTACATGACAAATTTTTTTGTCATGTTTTGCGAAATTTCTTGTAGTGATGTAAGAGTAGATGCATATGCTAGACAACCAACTATTATGAGATGATCATATGTAGGTATTTTATTAAACAGAACCCCAAAAGGGAGATTTGTTATTCAAAATAGGTGTTGGGACTTTATTAATAATATGTGCAGCTGCAAGTATGCAGTCAATCCAAAAATTGAGAGGTAGATGAGCATGAAAAAGTAATGCCCTAGCAACTTGAAGTAAGTGTTGATGCTTTCTTTCTACCCTCCCATTTTGTTGGGGAGTTTCTACACAAGATGTTTGATATAAAATACCATTGTTTGTGTAAAAATCAGATAAGAAAAACTCTGTCCCATTATCAGACCTCAAAACCTTAATTTTAATATTGAATTGAGTCAAAACCATATTATAAAAATGAGTAATGCTTTGTTTAGTATCTGACTTATTCCTTAAAGGATAAATCCAGGTCACCCTAGTATGATCATCTACAATAGTTAAGAAAAAATTGTACCCTTCATCAGAAAGAACATAAAATAGACCCCACAAGTCACAGTGTATGAGATCAAATGGTGCAGATGCAATTGAAGTGCTGGAGGAGAAAGGTATCTCCATTGTCTAGCAAAATGACAAACATCACAAGGATTATCATTCATAGTAAGACATGGTGTGGATGTAACATGTAACTGATGTAACTTTGAATAAGAAAGATGGCCCAGTATTAATGCCAAGTATCATTAGTAATATTTGCAGAACAAGCAGTTTTGGTAGTCACAGAATTTACATGTAAAGGAAAGTTTACATGTAATTGCTATATTATTACTAGAAGAAATAGCAGTAGGCATAGTAAAGTAATAGAGTCCATCTTTCAGGTCACTAGAACCAATCAGCTTTTGTGTTAGCATGTCCTGTACAACATAATAGCATGATAGAAATTGGAAAATGCATTTGGTTGATGAGACCAATTTTGAAACAGATATGAGATTAAAAGAGAAGCTAGGAACATAGAGTGCATCATGAAGAGTGATGAAATCATTCAACTTAACAGTTTCTTTAAATGATGCTTCAGTATGATTGCCATTTGGGAGATTGATTTTAATGGAAGTAGGTTGTGGTGCAGTACAGAAAAGGAAAGGTCACAAATCATATGGCCTGTGGCACCGGTGTTGAGAATCCATGTGTGTTTAGACATATTCCTTGAAACCAAACATGATATAGTATTAGAAGTACCTGTTGCATCATTACCTGTTGTGTCTTGAATTGTAGTGGCAACAACAGAAGTATGAGATGCACCTGATTGTTTGTTCTGCTCCTACAGTTTCTTATAAGCTACAAACTCATGAAATAAAACATCAGTAGTTGACTGTGATGAGTTAATAGTTGGATCAGTAGGAGCAGAAGGTTCAGATGGTTCAGTTTGGGTGAAATAAGCAGAAGGTTTGGGTGTTGTTCTTGGTCCTTTGGGGCCAATCCAGTTAGAAGGATAACCAATGATTTGGAAACACTTGTCAGTTGTATGGCCATTATATCCACATTGAGTGCATTTGATTTTTCTTTTGTCTTTGTAGGGTGGTTTTTGAAATGTTGGTTTGGAAGCAGAAGTTTTAGTGGCCATTGCAACAGGATCAAGGAGTTGAGGTGTGTTATGGAGCGATCTCTGTGTTTCCTCTTGAAGAAGTAAGGAATACACTTTTGATAAGGGTGGCAGAGGTGTGGAAAGGAGGAAATGGCTTCGAAGTGAAGAGAACGAGTCATTTAACCCAACTAAAAACTTCATCACACAGTCATTGTGCTGTGATACAACCATAGCCTAAAAAATGTTACAAGTACAAGAGGTAAATGCACCACAATTACATTTGAAAATAGGAATATATGTTGCGTACTCATCCCAATGAAATTTAATATCATTGTAATAATGAGTAACAGATTGAGAACCTTGAGCAATGGTACTAAGTGATTTTTCAAGGTGAAAAACCCTAGGACCACTGCTAAGGACATAACGAGTTTGAAGTTCAAGCCAGACATCACGAGCAGTAGTAAAAAACAATGACTGTCTAATGTCCTTACAGAGAGAATTGAGAAGCCACGAAAATACCAGATTGTTAGCACGTAACCAGGACATATAGAGAATCAGATTACCAGACACTGAAGGAGCATTGAGCGATCCATCAACAAATCTGATTTTGTTCTTGACGCTGAGCGCCATCAGGACGACGCGAGACCACGAGACGTAGTTCTCCCCGTTGAATGAATCAGCGACGATTAGGGCACATGGATTGTCACTTGCGTGAAGAAAGTAAGGGGAAGTCGGATCGTCGGACGAAATCACAGTAGTCGTCATTGAATTAAACGGTTGTGCCGCAAAATCAAAATCGAAAAATATATCTGAAGATCGAGTAGATCTAGAAAAGCGAAACTAGGGTTTCGTTGTCTGAACAGTAAAATCAAAAAACCGAACGAAATGGAAAGAAATATAGAGATAGGCAGCTAAATCATCGAAAAATCACAAGATCGGCGAGAATTGCCCTGCGAATGATACCATGATGAGTTCATGAAAGCAGCGAGAAAGAGAGAGAATCTCCATTGAAATGAAGAAGAAGAAAGAACTTGTATTCAATAATAAAAACTGCATACAAATGAGATGGTTTGCCCTATTTATACTTAGGGTTAAGATATAAAGTGCTGAAATAAGAATAGCAACTCTAATAAAACTATATAACACTTTTACTTATCCTATACAATAATATACTATACTAATACCTACTTTTATATCAAATCAATTTTAATCATTTATTTTAAATATTATTTTAATACAAACTTAAAACTCCACAAAAAATTTACTATATAACCTTTTTGAAATATATATATATAATTACTGGCTGATGCATTTAATAAAACATTTAATAAAACCTATTTTCATTTTCCTCCGAAAGGAGTTATATTTTTTTATTAATTACTCATTAATCTGCTAAAATCGTTAACACTTTAATATATATATATATATTTTTATTATTTATTTTTTGAATCAGTTACAAAATTAATTCTAAATTTAGTAGCAAAATATTCATACTTGTAACGGCTAATGTTGGAACTTAAAGTTGATTGACACATTCAGAGCTGTAACCGCTATATTTGGTTGCATTGTTGGAAGAAAAATATGATTGACACATATTTTTTTTCTCTAAAAATCAGAAACACCAATAATTTTTTTTTATTTATGTTAATTTTTTTAATATATGCCACAAATATATAAATTATTTTATTCATGTTACTGATCTAAACGTTGCATGGTTAAAATAAAATTTAAATCTCAATTAATTTTGAATGATAAAAATAACTTTAGAAAAAAAGTAAGAATTTTTATATGATAAAAGTAAATGTCTAATTAATAAATACAAACAAAAATGTGTTTTATATATGTGCAAATGCACAAGATCAAAAAATACTAGTAAATTTTAGTTCAACACAAAAATCAATAAAAAGCCAATTTTTTCTCTAGATTTTTTATAAAGGCCAAGCAACCACTAGTCATTTTAAAAATAGAAAAAAAAAAAAAAACTAAATTGCTTTCCGAAGGCGAGCGGGACGTTTCTGGAAAGAGCGCCACGTACTCATTTATCAGTGGGTTCCACGGCGGGTGACGAGGCAAAAGCTTTTCCAGACTCGGCCCAGCCGACTCAGTGCCCAACACCGAGTTTGTGGTGGAGGAAGCCCCTCTCTCTCCTCTCTCCTCTCCATCTATATTTTAATAAATAAAAAAATCGAAGAAAAGTGCAAAGCGCTTGGAGCAGGAGCTCCCACCCACTAAGTTTCCGCCACGTGGCACCATCCTCTTGCCCTAGCCCCCATTTGCCTCCGGTGTTGGCTGCTCACCAGCCTCAAATAATCCCCAATTTCCTCCATTTTTTCCTAAATCAAATCCACCTGATATTTTCTCGTGGCTCTCGTTTTTCCCTTTAATGGCGAATTTTTTTTGATAAGAGCAGAAACTGAAACAACCGTTGGGGCTTTCATCACTTTCTCCATCTGCTGTGTTCTGCTTGTTCCCTTCAGTTTCGTACTGTTTGTAGCCTTGTTCGAGTGTGCTTGAGTGAGCTGGAGTATTTTGATCCGCCATTTGCGAGTTTGTATGTGGAGCTCCAGTTCGTATGCGCGATGATTCTGTAAAGATCGGAGCCTGTAGACTGCTAGATCTCCTAATGGCTACCTTCGAAGGTATATGTTGAGATTTCTAATTGGTTTGTCGCTTTTTTGTTTTTTTTCAACTGATTTGTGTAAGCATATGAATGATGCTAGTCGTGTCCATCTATTTGAGCATACTGATTGAAGCAGTTCGTTTTCTCTTTTTTTGGTTGTTGTCTGTTGGTTTCTCTGTGCTTTCCTATTCGTGTTATATGGGTTCGATTCGAAAGGTTAAAGGCAACATCGCAGTTCGTTTTGGGTGAGATTCTTGATAGAAAAGAGTTAACTGCTTCTTTAACTCTCGTACTTCTTGTTTTGGGTTCAGAGATGCGTCTCGCTCCAGTTTCTCCCTTTATCCGTCTCTGTTTCAAACTTGTAATTCTGATGTTTATGGTGCCACTGTCTTGTTTACCTGTTTATCACAAAACTGAACGATTTTAAAAAATCCCGTTTTGAAAAGGACAAAGACACTGTTTTGAAAGAAAGAATTCACGGTCAGAAACAGAGGCAGACTTGCCAAAGGATCCTTTTGTTACAAGTTTCTCTCTTTTGCAGTACTAGTGTTACTTTGTCAGGTCTCCTCCAATATTACCACCACAAGAGGAGTTGTTGCAAGCAATGAATGAATTTGTCCTGTGTGTCTGTAGCAGTAGCATACCGTGGTCCTCTGTTTAGATGGACCCTTATTCATCTGGAGAAGACCTTGTTGTTAAGGTCTAATAAATTTTCGAATGAATCCTAAAGAGCTCTCTACGCCATAGAATTCTTTTTGTAGAGACCATGAAAAATCTTTGTTTCTTTGCATATGCAGACAAGGAAACCTTATACTATTACCAAGCAACGGGAGCGATGGACTGAAGAGGAGCATAATAAGTTCTTAGAAGCCCTCAAGCTCTATGGTCGTGCTTGGCAGCGTATAGAAGGTTTTGAAATTTGCAAATTATTGTTGATATCAAACTTCCTTATGTAACCGATTCATTTTTGGAAATTTACATTTGTACATGATTTCAATATACGTTCTTTATATATTTCCTTTGGCAAAACCATTTTTCTGAATATATGTTTAGTTTGTTTATGGAACTGTCTGCCGTCTTCCTTTTGTTTTTGTATCTCGTGGTGGTGCAGAACATATTGGAACCAAGACTGCTGTGCAGATCAGAAGTCATGCACAGAAGTTTTTCACCAAGGTCGATTACATTGCCTTTCCTTTTTATATATTTGGCTATAGATATAGACTACCATTTTGCTAGCTTCTAGCACTCATGGATATTAGGCAAGTGAAATTTCATATATGTTCATTTGTTCTTTTCTTATCAAGATGCGGAAGTTGAAAGTTTGCTGAAAAAGGTACTGTGTTCTGGTCTCTTATAGGACATATATTTGCCCTAAAGATATACTTCCTGGGTTATGCTTGACATGATTTAGGTTCAAGTGTGGAACACATTTGTTTATTGTTCGTATAAAATGAATCCAGGATGAGAAAAGCTGAGTCAAACTAGATGCTTGGGGTTCCATACAAAAAATCGCTACAGCAGTTTTAAATTTTAATGAACTTACATTTTAAACTCAAGCAACAGGATGTGAGAAGTGAGAACAATCAAACAAGTATCATATATTCTAAATATACCAGCTATATATTATATCTTCCTATTGCTAGTATTTCATGGTCATTATTTTTTTTTTTTTTTTGACAAAAGTATTATCTTCACATACTATCTAACTAGTGCAATATATGTATATGTTTATTAGATTGAAATACTTTACTCGTTTTGGAGGATAATAACTAATCTATTCTTTCATCTTAATGAGTTTATGCGAGTATTATATTGTATGATTATGTTTGATCTTAAGTTCATAGACTTCATTTTGTTCTAGGAGTCGATTTTGGAGGTAACACTTGGTTCTAGTTAATAATGACACCTACTTATCTTCTTAGCTTAGTGTATAAATCAGTCAGTTAAACTACTGGTATGATGTAATGGATTCTATATGCAGAACCAAGTGATAAAAAATGCCTGTAAATTGATAGGACTGATGCAAGGAGAACATAGAATTATAGCTTCCAAACAAGTGGGTTCATGCCTGTTATGACATGCTTCCCAACTAAACGCCTCATCCCAGAAATTTTACATATCAGATAGCTTTGGGAATCATACAAAATTCATTCTTTCGAGTTTTTTTCTCTTCTCCATTTTAAAGTGTTTTTTTTTTCTTTTTTTTTTTTGGCATAATTGCTTTTTTTCCTGGCCACCTTAATGAAGGATATTTTTCTGATTGTTGAGTTTAATAGTCAAGATGGTAAAATCTCGCCTTACACTTCTTTGTAAGACGCATCTTACTATTGATATTCTTTGAGAAAAAGTTTGACGCATTTGATCTTATTTCCTATTATGAACAGACTTTACTATGTATGCATCCAAAACGCTTCCAATTGAACAACCGTTAAATGTAAAGTTGAGCTTTGCTTTCTTTCCAAATTTTGTTTCGCGCCGGGATTGTAGGATTCTGTTCTAATAAGTAATTTCTGTTTCCCTTCAAACTGCACAATCAAGTGAATATGCACCACAGCTTATATAAAAGCTGCATAACAGTATGATCCACTCTTGTTCACTTGCATGCTTTGGCGTGTGAGTGCCAATTGTGTGCCCAAAAACTTTCCAAATCCTTGTTAACATGGAATCGCAAAGAGCCGCTTCTAATACAGATCCGTGTGTCCACTTAAAGCAAATAATCATCTTATATGTTGCCATCTTCATCTTCACCTGTAAATCATTTCCTAATTGTGCACACACTTGGGGAAACAGAAGATATTAGCCTTGTTGTTTCGTCATTAGTATATAATTTCAATATCTTATTAGTCATTATCACAATCTAGTAATTTTCGTCCATCAAAATATCTGCCAAATAGTTCTATATTATTATCTAATACAGTTTCTTGTGAAATAGCTAACTTAAATTTAAATAGATGTCAACTGCTAGCTAATAGAATCAACTATCAGATATGTCTTTTGTTGTTATATATGTGGGCAACAGGACCATTATTATTTTTGCTCTTCTAAACATGTGGATAGAATGCGACCCACATGTCTAATATATATATGAGTATATATATATATATAATATTATATTTTCTATTCTGTATTCAACAAAATATTTCTCCATGTTGTTTCATACAATTCTAGAACATCAATTATTGCTTCCAAAACAGTTAAGTTTATGATTATTTTCTTGAAATGCCTTCTATGTTAATAATCATCACATCAAATTCTGTTGCGTTGTTATATGCAAATTAAACAACGCAAAACAGAAATTCAATATTTCAGTTATCTTTTTTCAAGAAACATGCATATAGTTTTGTGGCACATACCAAAACAATAATGTGGCTATATATCAAACTCGATCATGTTCTCATTTACTCCAGAAAATATTATTTTTCCCATTTAATCTAATTGTACACTATTTTTTCAAACTTAAATGAATAATTATTTATTAATTTTTTTTTTTTCAACTTTTATCCGCATGGAATGTAGTTGGCCACTGCCACTGCCCACCGGCCTCTAGGTTGGTACATTTACCACCTTATTAGGTACGTATGACTTAAGCAGTACTTTTACAAGAAAACTTATTGACTATGAAATTTATGGATACTGTTCGACCCTGATTGTTATTTCAGAATGTCGACAGGGACACACTTTTATGTATGAGATTGATTTCAACTACTTGAGGATGAATTATCGATCATTGTCAAATAACTCTTTCTGGCCACTGTCGGCTGTCGTGCTGCCCATACCAGCAGCTTTGTCATCCTCCTGTGACCCTCTTCATAAAACAATAATCAAATTGAAACATTGTTAACCCTCCTTCCGGGCAATCTTTCCATTATATAAAGCATGAGTGTGATCAACATTGAAAACTTACGGCATCCAGTATGAATTTAACAGCCTGCCACTTGACCACTTTTTTTGGCCAATGCTCCATCAGCAACAGCTCCAACTTCTTCACCATTATGCTACCCTCTAGATAAAACCTATTATTTAACACCCTTCTCCACTCCATGATATGGATCAATTATTTCTATGTAGAAGTCTCTAATAGAATAAGTGTGCCAATTTAGGAGGAAGTGAATAAGTTAAAACTATTTGATTAGATTGCCGAAATAATATGAACTTATCAATGTTCAGTTAACCACATATTTGTTATTACACTTGCTTCTGATAAGATGCTTGTGTTATCTACATGGGGTAATTGAGCATCAAAAAATTATCATGCTTAATGCTGATGATAATATATATGTTCAAAGTTCTAGTTAGTAGTTAAAAAATTTGGAGTTGCATGTTAGTCCAACAGGGGAGGCATCCTACTGAAAAGGAAAGACCTGTTTTTAAATAATTTTGAGGTGTTTAGCTATTCGATGTCGTTCCAAGAAGTTAGCATCACAATGTTTGGATAATTATAGAAGGCCTGCTTTTTTATGGATAGGATTTGGTAACCTTTTTTTAATGTCGATGTACGTTGATTGTCTATAGTTGGCATTGAATGTTGTGTCTTGTGGTGAAGTCGCATGCATTACGAAATTTGAACGTTCTCGATCATTTTTGACCCAGATTGTCAAAATAGATCACTATGTCGTGTCTTGTGGTGAAGTCACATGCATTAAGAAATGTGAACCCAGATTGTGAAAATAGACCACTATGTCGTATGTTCTTACCTTCTTGTGATGGAAATTTTAATGTTCAAATTCTGTAGCTCGTATGTATGACTGAGATGATTTCTGAAGTTATTGGTAAAGGATTATCATAGCTCGAAATATCATCATCTCATATTTCACCACTCACTCTGGAAGTCTCTCTTAACCATAGTTTTCAAGATTTAATTCATCGTACATGTCCATAGCGTGCGGGTATCTTATACTTCATTTAAAAAATAATATATATATATTATATATATATTATCACACATAACATGGTTAATTAATTTTTCACCTGGATGACATTGAAATTTGAATCCAATAGATTAATATACTAACCAAGGATGTAAAATTGGAAAATTCGTTTAGTACCTCGCAATTACTGGTGACTGTCACGAAGTACAACTAACTTTATCTCAGATATCTGTTGTCCTAGCAATTACTGGGGACTGTCACAAATACAACTAACTTTATCTTATATAACTGTTGTGGAAGATGTAGTGTGCTGTTCCACGTAGAAGCTTATCAATCATAAGCTCTACTTTTCTCTTACCAAGCTATTGAATTCAAATATGACTACTTTTTGGTTGCCAGAGAATACATGCAGGAGTATGCATGCTCTCCTGGATAAATCTTGTCTCCTAGTTGGAGCTTGAAAACGAAATCCCTCTTGCTAGAGATCTTCTATGATATTATGATTTTTCTTTCTTAACTCTGTGTCGAAAATACAGTTGGAAAAGGAGGCCAATGTTAAAGGAGTTCCAGTTGGGCATGCACTTGACATTGATATCCCTCCACCACGACCTAAGAGGAAACCGAGTAGTCCTTATCCTCGAAAGAAAGGTGTAGGAACTCCTAGTCCCCAGGTGGCATTGAAGAATGGGAATACACCATGCTCGGTTTCTTCCTCATGTCATAGTAAACTGACAATAGCTTTGGAGAAAGAACCTGGAGAGGTATAGGTCACTCCTACTGTTTGCTACTTGAATATGTTATCAACTTTTTTTTTTTCTTTTTCTTTTCATTCTATTCCCTTTGTCCCATTTCTTATCTGCCTATTGTGATCATTATATCTGTTTGTGTTCATTTAAATGAAATAATTTTTTGTCCCATGATGCCACTTAATGCTCCAGGAACCTAATGATGATGAAAAGTCAGATAATGGTAATAATGAGCTCAGTACGGTGCCTTGTTCATCCCCGTCTCCAGCTGATGCATCTAAAAAGCCGTGTAACTTTACACAATATGTCCCCCTCTCGAAAGAAGCAAGCAATCACAATGGAACTGCTTCATCTCAAATCACGGTTGAAGCCCACGGAGTAAACTCTGACTACAAACAACCTTTATTCAATGTCTCAAATGGCGCCGACTCATACCCCACCTCACACGACGAGAAGTCCATGCATTGTGAGAAGACAACCGAAAACATGGAGAAATTGTCAACTGCTGACGTGCAAGCCTCGACAAACAACTACCCACGTCACGTCCCCGTGCACATTCTTGACGGAAGCTTAGGATTCACTGGACTGAATACCTCACCAGATATGTCCGCTGCAGCTGACTCTACATTTAGTCAAACAGGAGTGGCCCACGCTCATCAGAACCTATTCATGAATCAGCCTGTCCCTGCTACTTGTGAAAATCACCATCATAATCATACCACATCGAGATCCTCAAACCAATTGTTTTCCTGTTACCATCCGCCAATCTTCACTCCCATCCAGAACCAAAACGACTACTACCATTCATTTCTGCACATTTCTACAATGTTCTCGAGCCTTTTAGTGTCTGCTTTGTCACAAAACCCCGCATCCTATGCTGCGGCCAGATTTGCCGCCTCTTTGTGGCCATGCACGAACAGCATGGAAGCTCCAGTAGTCTGTGTAGCAGGAGAACCGTCCTCTACAGCTTCAGCCAGTTCGACTCCTCCTAATCCTACTCCAAGTATGGCGGCAATTGCAGCAGCCACAGTAGCAGCTGCCACCGCATGGTGGGCCGCCCATGGGCTGCTCCCTCCTTTACCATGTTCACCTTTTCACCCTCCTCCGATGAACAACAACCAAGGAAGACCAGAAAACGGTCCTGATAAACCTCCTACTGTCTTATTAGGCCAACAACAGCTGGAGCCGGAATGCTCTGATGTTCTCTTGATGATGCATGAACAACAGCAACAGCATCCGGTTCCTAAAACGACTGTTGTATCATCATCCGAATCCGAAGCGAGTGCTGATGCAGGACCGATTGTTGCCGAAGTACCTGCAAAACATGTGGATACTGAAGCCAAGAACACATCCAATAACAAAAAGCCAGAAAAGCCTGCAGACCGCTCCTCGTGCGGCTCTAACACGCCCTCGGGCAGTGATGTGGAGGCGGGTGCAAAAGGTGAAGACGACGAAAAGCAGAAGAATGAGAAAGAGGCTTCCGAAGACCCTTTTAGCCGACGTTGCAGAAGCACCGCAAGCTACGTGAACGATTCCTGGAAGGAAGTATCTGAAGAGGTACACTTTATAATTCTAGCCTTGTTGAATAGTACATGCAACAACATGCTAGTAATTGCCTTTTTATTTTTTTTTTGGGTTGTGTGCAGGGAAGGCTGGCATTCCAAGCGCTTTTTTCTAGAGAGGTATTGCCCCAAAGTTTTTCGCCTCCGCAAGATGATGTCAAGAACAAAGGCAATAAAATGTTGTCTATAAAGGAAAATGCGGAGAAAGATGAAAACAGGCTGCAGCTTGACCTTAACGGTACCTGTCCCCACAAACAAGAGGGAGATAACAATGTCTCTCTGATTAATGGTAACAAAGAGGGGACTCTAACCATAGGGCACGGACAAGTTAAGTTAAAAGCTCGACGGAACGGATTCAAACCTTACAAGAGATGCTCGATGGAGGCTAAGGACATTCCGGTCACAACCAGCAACCAGGATGAAGAGAAAGGTCCCAAGAGACTGCGTATAGAAGGAAAGGCCTCTACTTAATGGTGGGATTCCAATTTAGAGGGGTCCCTCTCCCACACTGATGTTGCATGCATTTTTCACTTCATTCTCCGTTATGTTTTGAGTTCATTTAAATATGTGTGATACTATTTAGGACCGCGTACAAATAAAATTAAGACTTTAATGGGTGGACACAAGTTATTCTAATTTATTTCCAAGTAATGGACACTTTTCATCTGATGCCATTCCATGTAGTTTTTCTTTCTTTCCCCTATTTGACGACTTAGTCAAATCGTCTGGCACCATGGATAGGTACTTTCATGGATTTTGAAGTACTGTAAAAAAAGGGTTATATAGTAAATGATGGTCACACAGATGCAGGTTGAAGACGGTCTATGACCATACACTGTCGATGGAAGGTGGGTTATATAGTAAATGACGGTGATGCAGATGCAGTTTGAAGACATTCTATGACCTTACACTGTCAATGGAAGGTTTGCCGCATGTTCTGTAAGCTTTTCAATTTAAATTAGCATATAAATTCAGCTAATCATTGTCTTGGATAATTACAAGAAACTATCAAATGATACTTTCGTGAAAATACATATACATGATATCCATGTTGCTCGATTCTATTTGTGTGCACTTGGGATGTGCCGATTCCATCAAGTGAAGAGAGTGGGAAATGCTTTTGGTTCCAGGTGAGCTGATTTAACTGTGTAAGGAAGTGGGAAAATTGTGAGAGTACATCTCAGGAATCAGTCGCAACAGGCAGCTTTGGGGAAGGCAAGTCTTTGTTCTATTATTTGTCTTTGTTCTTTGATAGAATGCACATCGATTTTTTGGATAAAAGGGTTGATTCGAAATATGGGGAGTCACTGCCTAGTATGGTAGGTTTCTAGTGTCACTATTCAGGTTCTCGTTAACATGATTAAATATGTGGCAACGAGATCCCATGTTTTTGCACACCGTAATGAATTTTGTATTTGCACACCATAATGAGACCTTTGTATAACCTATCAAGTAAATAAACTGCATTTTCTATTGTTACGGGTTTACATAATGGATAATAAGAAACAAAATATGAATGGTGCAGTTCTTATGTGGTCATTCTACAACTCCTCACAGTAGTAAGTCTTATTATTAATTGAAAAACAATACCACATAAACTTGGCATTTAAGCCTTAATTGTTCTCTCTCTCTCTCTCTCTCTCTCTCTCTCTATATTTCTCGTTCAAATTTCCCCGCTGCAGCGACGCTATTCCAGCCTAGCCGGGGGTCGGAGGCCCTTTTTTGCTCAATCCTCTGCCTCGAGGAAGGTAGCCGTTGGCCCGCGCCCCTTTTTTGCTCAATCCTCTGCCTCGAGGAAGGTAGCCGTTGGCCCGCGCCCACAGCCTTTTTCTGGCCTGGTTTTGTGCACTGTCCATCCACGTTTCCTCCTGCCCCCAACCGGCCGTTGGAGCCCCTTGGCCTGTCGCTTCTTCCTCTTTGAGTCTGGACGTCATCTCTCTGTCGTGCCGTGCGCGGACGTGTGGTGTAGTTCCTTACTGGGCTTTGGTGTTGGGCTCGTCAAGTGTGCCGTGTCGAGCAATCCCCAAGGCATCCTCCCCCGGTCCATTGCATAGGGAGTGCAGATCTGGGCTGAGGTGTCCTCCTTGCCAGATCTGACCAGCCACTTCTTAGTTGGAGTTTTTGGGTTTGGTTGTTCTCGGTCTTTGGTGTAGTTGAGGAGGAATTCTTCTATTGTAATGTAGGTGTGTGTTAGTTATTTTGTGTAGGTGTGATTCTCGTGGGAGTATAGTCTCCACTTGAGAGGTCTAGTTTTAGCTTTTGTTTGGATGAGATTCCCAGCTAGCCGGTTTCAGCTACTATTCACGCTACCGAGGACCCTATTCTAGTAGTTTGTGTTTCTAGCTTAGGGTGCTCTGTCAGCATTCTTCTTGAGTCCACCTTCTCGGTGGATTCGTTGGGCTAGTTAGCCCTCAAGTCTCTCTTTGTAGATTCATCTCTTTGAGGTATAAAATCTACCGTTTCAATGTTAAAAGAAAAAAGAAAAAAAAAATTATACATTGATAAAATATTCAAAAGCATTGATAAAATATAAGTCACGAATTATTCTTATAATCTAATTTCTTAGTACATAAATATAGAAAAAGAAAAAAAAAAATCAAAACTTAGCCCTTTTAAAAGAAAATCATAGAGGTTTCACACTTTCATATTAAAAGAGAGAGAGAAAAACGAATTTGCACATCCAAAATAAATTCAAAGTTGCATAAAAAAAAATTCACATTTCTATTTGGATAATATCTAATCAAAATTGAGCGTTATCAACATATCATATGCTATCACATCAGATCTCAGCAGAACCTGAGAGAAGCCTTATATCAACCGTTGCCATACATTAAATAATTCCCAAAGCACTCACAGTTGGTATTTCTCAATCAAACAACAAACATATAGACGACTCGTGAGACGACACTAAAAAAGAACTTCTAATTTTCGTGGTAAAGATACAAGCCAAGGCTAAACCGAGCACACGCTCTGCAAAACGTGATTTCCTCTGCTGCACCCACAAAATTTAAAATATTGCCGCCAGGTGTTGCAGTCCCAGTCGATTCACGGTGTGCCTGCATTCAAGTGAACTATCTTTTGTCTTTGTTTATGTCCTCCAAGATAAAGTTGATTTCTTACTAGTGCTGGTACTTCCATCACCGGATAGCACCGAGACCTGGAGCCTCAGTTTGCGGCCACGAACAATTGGACTATCTTTTGTCTTTGTTTGTGTCCTTCAAGATAACGCATATATTTGATTGATTCTAGTTTCATCCTCAATCAAACATAGAAATTTGATAGTACATAGAAAAATATGACTACGTCGATCATCAATTATTATATTGGTTGTTTCTAGTTTCATATCAATAACATTAATTTTAAATATGTCATCAATGCCACAGTTATCCTCCACACATGTTGGATCATTTTTTTTACTATAAAGATTGTAAGGTTCCCCTGGGATAAAATTAGTTTCAATGTTTTTTTCCTTTTAATATTATGGATACTTTATAATTTTCAACATTTTTGGAGCACGACAATTACGTTGCCAATGTCCCTTCCGCATCGATAACATATATTTATGTCCTTGCCTTTTATAGAATTTTTTTCGTAATTTTTTATTTTTTTAACTTTGGCTGAAATTTTTCTTCATCTTCCAAAGTTTTGACCTCTACCACGTCCACGACCAAATCCACGATTTGAGTTAAATCCACGACCTTGGCCGGATCCAAAACCTGGGCCAAATCCACTGCCACGGTCATGTCCCGAGGTTTACCCACATGCATTGTTTTGAGAACGTTACTTTTACCTTAAAGATTGCAGAAGAATCAGTGGGTCTAGCTTCATGGTTTTTCATTAACAACTCATTTTTTTGTTCAACCAGCATGATATTAGCCGACAGTATTTTGAAAAACTTTTTGCTCTATATTTTCTTGAAGAAAGTACGTTAGAAGCATGAAATCTAGATAATGTTGTTTCTAGCGTATCCCAATCACTTATGATTTCCCCAAATAATTTAATATTGAATAGATATAGAACATTGTCAAATAGTATTCATTCACAGTTTTAAAATCCTTAAATCGTAGGTTCATCCATTCTTAACGAGCCCTAGGGAGAATCACTGTTTTTATGATCGTATATTTCTTTGAAGGTTTTCAGAAATCAGGATCTTTCATAGTTAACTATTCATTCTTTAATGACGCAAATAAATCATAGTTCTAGTTTTGTCTTGAGTTGATGAATCATTCAGATACATTATTGTTGCCCACAATTCTCTTGCATCCAAATGAATTTCAACTCTAACATCTACGAAATATAATTCTCAGAGATATCAAGTGCTTCAAATTCAAGCTTGGCCAAGTTTGACATGATAATGTTGTGAGTACCTAATATAGATGACCTGATCAGGTGAAACACTCATGCTGATGACATGTTATAAATATGGAGAAAATGACAAAGAATTGAATATGAAAATGTAAGAACGGAACATGATATTGCATTGTTTTTTCTTCTTTTCTCGGTGCGCATTCTTCATTTGCATTGGTTGCCTCTTGTAGGTGAACTTTATCGGCACCAATTTCATCTTTTACCTATTTCAGTATTTGTAATAAATAATTATTAAATGTGGTAAGACAATTTTTCACAATAATCTAAACATAACTATTATTAATTGAAAAAATGATTTGATGTCAAAATTAATTAAGTTGGAATTTTGAATGAAAAGAAAAACTTTGTATTATATAAGATAACTGGACCGGACCGATCGGTTCAATCGGTTGAACCAGGAACCGGCCTTTGCACCGGTCCGGTTCTAGTATCAAAACTGTCTAATGCGAAAACCGGTGGGGAACCGTTCGAACCAGTGAACAGTTGTCGGTTCTAGCGAGCTGGTGGTTCATCAAAACTGGTGCTCTTGTCGATTTCTGTCGGAGGTTCTGCCCGACTTTCACCTTCTGCTCCAGCTACTTCCGACGAGTTGCTACTTCTGTGATAGTGTAATAGTGGAAAAATAAAAAAGATGTCCAATTGAACGGACATAAATTGAAGGATAAGATTCTTTGGAACTTAAGTTTCTTTCTGCACAGAGATACAAATGAGCGGCGGATTGAAGATGGAGGACAGACTTACGGAGCTGCTACACTAATATAAGAGAATTTAAATATTATTTTGAGTTCTATTTATGGGTTGGGCTCACATTTTTTTTTATTATAATTTTTGGATGAGTCACTTTAATTTTTAAAAGTTTATTAAGTCTTAGATTATTTAATTTATTTCAAATGATATAGTTGTGTCCAAATGTTAACTTATAAGGTATAAAATAATACATACATTAATAATTTTATAAAGTAATAAAAAAACTTATACTCGGTTCGTTAGATTTCTTACCGAAAAAACTAAAATTTACCACTAATTGCAATTTTAATTATTATTAATGGGTGAGAGGGCCGATATTTATTTATTTATTTTTTTGGTTAATGGGTTACAATTGAGAGGGCTGACCAGTATTAAGTTATTACTTATTAGTTATTAGTATGAAGTTATTAATTATTAGTATTAAACTATTAACTATTAACATTAAGTATTGTTATTTTTACTTTATCTGTTGGGTTCGATAAAATCCAACCCTTATGGTTTCGGTACCGATAACATATTAATAACCGATAATTGGTTACCGTTTAAAGTAAGTCGGTACAATTTTTTTTTTCTTGTCGATTCGGTTCAGTTTTTGGTTTTCGGTCAAAACATGTCATCCCTAAGAGCATCTACAATGCATTGGGTCTAACATTGCTAAGAGCACCCACAATGCTTTGAGTGAGGGGCACCTACGGTGCATTTTTAAACAGCACCTACGGTGCCCCCTTCCCCACCCTTGGATCATGTTAAGTACCATGATCCAAGGGTGGGGGAGGGGGCACCGTAGGTGCTGTCACCGCAGGCGCCCCTCACCACAATGTTTTGGGTCTCTTAGAAAAAAAATCACATGCCATGTATCTATAAAAAAATATTTCACAATGCAATTAAAAGTGGACCTAGTCTAACTTATGTGGCACTAGAACAAAGAGACTAAGTCCACACTTGGGTCTATTTTGGACCCAAGTGCAAATCCACCTAATCATTAATTGTTCACAATTTTTTTTTTTTCTTTTTAATAGGCAAAACACATATTTTTTGTATGTATTTATTATTACTATATTTTTATTGGTTGTTTAGTATTCTAGACCTAGTACTTTTTTGTTTTGCATTGGATAGATTTTGGATTTTTTAGCTTGAGTTTGTCCATATCATTATGGACTTAAGTCTATTTATTTGCCACATATGCAAAAAGAGACCCAAAGTATTGTAATGTGACATGTAAATAAACTCAAGTCTTGGATGACATGGATAAAAATATGTAAAATTAATAAAATTTACTCCAATGCAAAGAGGCTAAGAGATGTTTCGATATGAAATTTTTTGGCTTTGTTGGATTTTTTGGTTAATTTTGAAGAAGGTAGTATGATTAATTGTTAGTGAGTATATTAAAATAATATTCAAAATAAAACAATTAAAGATTTGATGTGATGGTTAGTTAAAATATTGTGAGTGGATGAATAGTAAGTTAAGGTTGATCTGGTGTGTATGAATGATTGATTGATATTATTTAATTATATTGATGATAATGATGATAGTGAGATTGAGTTAAAGTTGAGTTAAAAAAAATGGTTGAGTTAAAATGTTTATTTTTTTTTTTATTTTTTTTTAGATATCTTGTATATAGACATGACCTAAGTCTCTACTTGGGTCTATAAGAGCATCCACAATGCTTTGGGTCTCTTTTTGCATATGTGGCAAATAAATAGACTTAAGTCCATAATGACATGGACAAACCTAAACTAAAAAAACCAAAACCTATCCAATGCAAAACCAAAAAGTACTAGGTCTAGAATACATGACAACCAATAAAAATGCTCTAGTATATTTCATTTATTAAAAGAAAAATTAAATGAGGAATAAATGATGAGTGCTTGGGTTTGTACTTGGGTCTAAAATAGACCCAAGTGTGGACTAGGTCTCATTTTTTTATTGCCACATAAGCTAGACTAGTTCCACTTTTAATTGCATTGGAGAACACTTTTTTATAGACTAGGTCTATTCCTTACATGGCATGTAACTTTTTTCTAAGAAACTCAAAGCATTGTGGGTGCTCTAAACATTCACAATGCTTTTGATTCAACCACAAAAAATGAAATAGACTCGTGCTAAAAAAATATATTCTCTAAATGCAAATAATGCAAATAAAAAGAGATGCTCAACCGTTGAACCAGTAACTTTGGTTCACCTGTCCTGTTTTCAAAACCTTTGCGGAAAAGGCCTCCTTCCACCCTCCAGCCGCCCTTACGCCAAGTCTGAACTCTCTTTCTGGTCGCGCATCCGCTGTCTATCCGCCGTCGGCCACCGTTTTGCTCAACCGGTCGACTCTTCTTCTTTCCGATGGGAGTTTCCGCCGCCGAAAAGAAGGCTAAGCATGTCTCAAGCCCAGCTCCTCCGGCCTACACCAAAGACGAAACTTATCTTCAGACCGTAATACCCAAACGCATTGAGCTTTTCGAATCCTTGAAAAATCAACAGAACCTCAGTCGCCTTTCGCTTTCTCCTGATCCCATCCAGTAATTGCGGTTACCTATTCGTTCATTTTTTTTTTCATTTATTTGATAATAAATTGACTTTTACAATTTTGGTTTCAAAATTATTCGAAATAGGATTACATTGCCGGATGGGAAGGTGAAAGAAGGCAAGAAGTGGAGCACGACGCCGTTTGATGTTGCCAAGGAGATATCAAAGAGTTTGGCGTCAAACGCGTTGATCTCGAAGGTAAATGGGGTGCTGTGGGATATGAGCCGGCCATTGGAAGGAGACTGCAAGCTCGAGCTGTTTACCTTTGATACTGATGAGGGCCGTGATACCTTCTGGCATTCAAGTGCACACATTCTTGGCGAGGTAAACTATTGTAAGTTTGATGATATTCTTAGTAAACATTACGATATTGAGTAAAGATTACAACTTCCATTTAATTTTGTGAATGACCACCGGTTTGTCTATTGATTTTGAGTGGTTTCCAGTCATTAGAGCAGGCATATGGGTGTCGATTATGCATTGGGCCTTGCACTACAAGGGGGGAGGTAAGATTTTTGCATTTTGCTTGCCTTGTTTTCCCTTCTTATAGATTGATGACGTCTTCTCCTAAATATCCCATTTGTGTGCATATCTTGGCTTGTTTTCCTTTAGTTGTATTTTCAAGCTGTAGATTGTTTATTTTCTGAGATAATGTTATGTCTCGTCAAAGGGCCATTGGAGTTGTTGGTGAATGAATTTGGACTATCAACGCTAAGCTTTAGGAGGAAAATAAAATGCAAGAGTTTTCGTTATAAAAGAACAGAATGGAAATGTTACTAATTCTTGCTTGTCTAATTTTAAAGGAATCCTTTCACAGTTTATAGCATTCGTGAAAAAGTCTGTCTTAACTAACTCCGAAATTACATATATTTGGAACTGTCAATCAAACAAATCAACAGAGGAACTGTTGCATTCTTTGATCTTGGCTCAGATCTTTTTTTCTTTGATTATATTTCCAAAAACCTGCATCAGAGTATTAATTATGGGTGTCCCTGTTAAGTGCTCTTTAATTTTATCAGTTCACCTAGAGTTCCAAAAATTAAAGTAGATATTACATTTAATTTAAGGCGAAAGAGGAAGAATGGAGCAAAATTGCAACGACGAGTATATTAACATGTTCTCATAATTGGTATGAATTTTTCTCCATTCTTATCTTAGATGAACGAGAGTACTATTTTGATTGGACTATTTCATGAATTTGGTCTCTCTTCAAAACTAAAGTGTTTGTAGTGGAGTCTCTGTTGCTTTTACATTTTGAGTGAATTTATTGGTTTGAACTACTGTTATAAAAATATAAGTTCCTTACATTGAACAGTATAGTTGATTTGCAGGGGTTTTATTATGATGCATTTTATGGTGATCTGGGACTGAATGAGGACCACTTTAAACAGATTGAAGCAGCTGCCAAGAAAGCTGTTGATGTATTGCTTCTAGAATTATGTTGCTTTACCATTGAAGAGTTGGCATTTCTTATTTGGTCTAATAAGGTCACTTGACATGTTTTCTCAAACTTTATTGTTGTATTATTGTTGTGCTTTAGGAAAAACAACCCTTCGAGCGCATTGAAGTCACAAGGGAACAGGCTCTTAACATGTTTTCGGACAACCAGTTCAAGGTCTTTTAGTTTACAATCCTAGTTATATATCTACATCTTAATCTTTCAATACTGATGAAACTGTATACTTATTTTTGAATTGTTTATGACTGTTCTATGTATCTTCACCCTCCCTTTCTAGGTTGAAATTATCAAGGATTTGCCAGAGGATAAAACAATCACAGTGTATAGGTGTGGTCCGTTGGTTGATCTTTGTCGTGGACCTCACATACCTAACACATCTTTTGTGAAAGCATTTAGCTGTTTGAAGGTGAGATCTGCTTCCCATTGTAAGTTATTATTGAGTCGGTGAGTCTTCATCTCATTTTTCAAATATGTATTATTAGGCATCATCAGCTTATTGGCGTGGAAATAAAGACGTGAAAGTTTGCAAAGAGTCTATGGCATATATCCAGATCAAAAACGTCTGAAGGTGGTATTCTTTCTGTGTCTTCATAACTTTATCCTTCCTGCTTTTGCTATCATATGGCATTGTTAGTAATGATATTTCCTTTAGCATTATCTGCTCTCTTGATTTGCATAATGGTAATCCACACAGGAATACAAAGCCATGCTGGAAGAAGCAAAAAAATACGACCATAGAGAACTCACGAAAAAGCAAGAGCTTTTCTTTTTTCACCCTCTAATGTAAGAGTTCGAGCTATATTACACTTTCTTTTCCAGCTTAATTCATTTTTTGACTTATATATTGACATGTGTGTGCAATTTAGCCCAGGAAGTTGTTTCTTCTTACCCCATGGTGCTCGAGTTTGCAACAAGTTGCTGGAATTCATTAGAGTCAGTACTGGAAGAGAGGCTATGAAGAGGTAATTTTTGATTACCTGTCTTGAAGGGTGCACATAGATCTGTTACTACATAACTGTATCACTCATAGCTACATATTGCTTGATTTATTAGGTGTGGACTCCAAATATGTACAATATGCAGCTGTGGGAAACATCTGGTCATGCAGCAAACTACAAGGAGAATATGTTTGTGTTTGAGGTGAGATCATGCTAGTAAAAAAAGATTGGTTTTATTATGAATATCTTGTATCCATAATTCCATTGCCAAATAATAAGTTGGGGGTACTTTTGGTTATATTTATCTTCAAAGTAGAGGGAGTAATGGACCTGGAAATTTTCAGGTGGAGAAACAAGAATTTGGACTCAAGCCAATGAACTGCCCTGGCCATTGTCTTATATTTGATCATAGGGTCCGCTCATATAGAGGTGATCCTTTCTTTGTGATCCTGTCTTATATGTGATCATAGGGTCTGCAATTTAGTTGTTAAATGTGATAGTACTCTCCTCTCTATTTCCTCTACAGTTATGAAACAAATTTACTTATGTCAGAGAAGTAGAGAACACTTGTATGCCATTATCTTTAATGTGTGTGCTAGTGCATTTTGCTTGGGATTCTAACTGACAGCTGCAGTTCATTTTAGTAGTATGTGAAATCAGACCAACCTTTTTTATTGCAGAACTTCCTCTTCGCCTGGCTGATTTTGGGGTCCTGCACCGGAATGAAGCGAGTGGTGCACTAACTGGTTTGACTCGTGTCAGGAGATTTCAGCAGGTATATCTAAGATCGTATTATGAAAAGTAAAAGCATGTGTATTATTTTTCGTAAATCGCGAGAATGCTTTTTCGTAAATCGCGAGAATGGAGGAGAAGTACTTTAGTACCGATCTTCAAGAACAAGGGTGATGTTCAAAGCTGTGGTAACTACCGTGGGATTAAGTTGATGAGCCATACGATGAAGCTGTGGGAGAGGGTTATCGAGTATCGCCTACGACGAGTGACGAGTGTGACCCAAAACCAATTTGGGTTTATGCCTGGAAGGTCGACCATGGAGGCGATTTTCCTAATTCGACAGTTGATGGAGAGATATATGGACCAAAAGGACTTGCACATGGTCTTTATCGACCTTGAGAAGGCTTATGACAGAGTACCGAGGAATGTCATGTGGTGGGTCTTAGAAAAGCACAAAGTCCCATCTAAGTACATTACCTTCATCAAGGATATGTACAAGGATGCGATGACGTGTGTCCAAACATGTGGGGCCGATACCAGCGACTTCCCAATTAAAATAGGACTACACCAGGGTTCAGCGTTGAACCCTTATTTATTTGCCTTGGTGATGGATGAGGCCACAAGGGACATACAAGGTGATATCTCTTGGTGTATGCTCTTTGCCTATGTTACCCGGACTCGGGTACAAGTATCGGATACGGGTACATATCCAAGTATCCGGTATTTGAATTTCTAAAAGTTAAGATACGGGGACACGTACCCAAACTTGGACACGGGTACGTGAATACGGCAGTCAGTGTAATAAAAATAAAAAAATAATTTATTTTACAATATTAATAGGAAAAAAAAGTATATACATCATTACAAATTTATATTCATAATAATTAAATACAAATATACTACTAATGCAACATTAAAATATTTGCATTAAAATAAAAAGAAAGTAACAAATTAGTAAGGTCTAGCTATTAAGTAACAAAACGGGCCTAATAAACTAAATAAAAACAGACCAACTCTTAAGTAAATAATATAAAATATATTGGCCCAAACAATGTGGTCCCATACCACACTGCACACATATCCCAAAAACCCACCTTATCCATTCCCGATTTTAAGAGAACCCTAACCACTCAATACTCATCTCCTCCGGCGGTGATCCCCGATTCAGAGCTACCACCATGCCATAGGCCCTCTTCCTCAGATCCAACCACCAAACCGGTACTTCCTCACCCTTAACCATCTTTTTTCCCTTCTTTCCCACATAGTTCATGACATCTTCACCCGCCCCGACACCGTCGATAGTCAACGTGTCCGGCCACTTTTGACCGGATCGGAGCCGGATTTCGTACCAGTACCAGTGTAGTGTCGTGTCGTGTCGACACGGGTACTCCGGCGTTAGGTGCCGAGTCCGGGTAACATAGCTCTTTGCTGATGATGTGGTGCTAGTTGACGAGAGTAGGACAAGGGTAAATAGGAAGTTAGAGCTGTGGAAGGACACGTTAGAGTCGAAAGGCTTAGTAGGACGAAGACCGAGTACATGACGTGCGCTTTCAGCATGGCTACTCATGATGATGGTGACGTTAGCCTTGACGGGCAAGTGGTGGCCAAAAAGGATACTTTCCGGTATTTAGGATCGATGCTACAAAAGGATGGCGGCATTGATGAAGATGTTAGGCATAGAATTGCAGCCGGTTGGTTGAAATGGCGTCAAGTTTCGGGCGTTCTTTGTGATAAGAGGGTGCCACAAAGGCTAAAAGGTAAGTTCTATAGGACGGCGATTCGCCCGGTGATGCTATACGGTGCTGAATGTTGGCTTACAAAAAGGCAACATGTCCAACAACTAAGTGTAGCAGAGATGCAGATGTTGCGCTGGTTTTGCGGACTCACAAGAAGGGATAGAATCCGAAATGAGGATATTCGAGATATGGTCGGGGTGGCTCCAATTGAGGAGAAATTGGTTCAACATCGGCTGAGGTGGTTCGGACATGTCCAACGGAGGCCTCCTGATGCACCGTTGCGTAGGGGAGTTCTACAGCGGGTCGATGTTGTTAAGAGAGGTAGAGGTCGGCCTAAACTCACTTGGGAAGAGTCGCCTCAGAGAGACCTTAAAAATTGGAATATCTGCAAGGATTTAGCGGTGGATAGGAGCGCTTGGAGGCTAGCGATCAATGTGCCGGAACCGTGATTTTTGCTCCTTTCTCTTTTGCTCCAATTTTTTTTTTTTTTTATTTATTTTTTATTTTTTACCACTGGTTCTATTGGGTTTTATCTTAGCCTACCTCAACTTGTTTGGGACAAAAAGGCTTTGTTGTTGTTGTTGTTGTTCGCGAGAATGCTTTTTTTTTTTTATCACTACAGTCTTTTGCATTTATCAAATACTACCTGATAGCGAGTGGTGTTCTTGGGATTCTACATTTTCTAAATTCATTTTAGTTTTAAACAGTGAGATGACCAGATCAGATGAACATTAAACCGTTATATTTATGATTGCATGTGAAAATTTTGTTTCAATTGCTTGATGCTAATGATGGAACAGTTTTGGTACAGGATGATGCCCATATTTTCTGCAGGGAATCGCAGGTAAGATGGACTTTATTGGCTGTATCCTGCTTGTGTAGCTTTCAGTGAAGCCATGTCTTATGTTATCTTTCTATAATCCGATCCTCAGGTTAAAGATGAAGTGAAGTCTGTGTTGGAATTCATCAGTTATGTGTACGAAGTGTTTGGCTTCACTTTTGACCTAAAGTTATCTACGGTATGAAGTTTTAGCATGTAGTTCTTACTTAAGTTACTTTATGCCATCTGTTTAGATTTTTATATCCCTTCAATCAAAAGCGTTAATTATATGAAAAAGAAATGTTCGATGGACATAAAAATAAAATTGACAATAATGGTCGTATGCACATTATACACCACCACCCCAACTATATATATATTTGTGGTAAACCTAATGGGTATTTCCGAAAAGGAAAAAGAAAAAAAGAAAAACTCTTGGGTACTACCTATTTCGAAAGATGAAACTAATATCTCTTAATGTGCTGCAGAGGCCGGAGAAATATCTTGGGGACTTGGAAGTATGGGAAAAAGCTGAAGCTGCTCTTGCAGAAGCACTAAACGAGTTTGGCAAACCTTGGGAGGTTAGTTACTTGTTACATTTAATACTACCCCATTGACAATTTACCAGCATTATTCTTCTTGATACATAGTTGGAACCGCTGTTGTAAAACTGGCTTCAAATCTTTCTATTAGATAAATGAAGGTGATGGAGCATTCTATGGGCCTAAGATTGACATCAGTGTTTCTGATGCAATGAGAAGGAAGTTTCAATGTGCTACTTTGCAGGTTTGTTTTCATTGCTTTCCTACTTATCAATATTTTTGAGGATGTTGCAACTTTTATCAACACATCTTAATAGCTTGGATTTTTTACTGTGCCAGCTGGACTTCCAACTCCCTGCTCGTTTCAACTTATCCTACTCAGCAGAAGATGAAACTAAGAGGGAGAGGCCTGTTATGATACACCGAGCTATTCTCGGTTCTGTTGAACGAATGTTTGCAATACTTTTGGAGCATTACAAGGGCAAGTGGCCGTTTTGGCTTAGTCCACGACAATCAATAGTTTGCACTGTATCCGACACATACGTGCCTTATGCACTAGAGGTTAGATCTAACTCAATGTCTAATACTATTTTGGTCCGCTAGCAACCTTGTTTTGCAACTTTGTTAGTTATGGGGCTTGAAGCCAACCATATATTTATATGGTAATAATAATAATAAGGGTAAATTGCAGTTTTCATACCCAAACTAAAGTTCATTTCATAATCAGTACCCGTTTTTTAACATTTGCAAAATCAGTACCCTAACTTTCATTCTGTTAGCAATGTTTGTACCTGGCCGTTAGATGTCCGTTAAATTTCTGTTAGTTGTTAACGGAAGTAGGCAAAATAGAAGGAATTTTGTATTTTTGTTATTGAAAAATTATTATTCCAAGATATACTGCATGAACTAGAAGAGAAACCATGTCTTCTCATTTTTCTAGATTTATTATATTTTTTTTTTTTAAAAAAAAATCGATTTTATCCAAGATTTTTTCTTATAAATAGTGGAGGCTGCGTCTTCTTTGAAAAAAAAATGGTACAAATATCTTATGTATATAGATTTCATCATGAGCCAAAAAAACAGAAAAATTTCCTCCATTTTGCCTACTTCCGTTAACAACTAACGGAAATTTAACGGAGATCTAACGGCCGGGTACTAACGTTGCTAACAGAATGAAAGTTTGGGTACTGATTTTTCAAATGTTAAAAAATGGGTACAGATTCCGAAATAAACTTTAGTTTGGGTATCAAAACTGCAATTTACCCTAATAATAATAATAATAATAATAATAATAATAATAATAATAATAATAATAATAATAATATATTAGTATGTTAACACAGGTGGTAGAACCGACCATGTAACATATAATTATAATTAATATTAATATGGAGCTAGTGCCACCATGAAGTAAGAAAAGAGAACGCTTATGGGGCTGGAACCACCACAAAAATAAG